GGGGTCGACCATGGCCGGGTCGTCGCACAACAAGTCGGCGGCAGCGTCGTCCATGTCGTCAACGGTGGTGGTGGGGTTGCACGAGGTGTGGTCGCCGGCGCGGTGGCGGCGGCGGGCGCGCGCGAGGTGCTCGGCGTCCTCGAGCGCGTCCTCGGCCTCCGAGTCGGGCGCGTCGACGGACACGGCCGGGTCCGGGAAGAGCAGGAGGTTGCGCTGGGCGCGGCGGGCCTCGGCGAGGAGGCCGGCCGTGCGGAACATGTGGTTCTCGCCGATGCCGTCGGTGGCGCGGGCCAGCGCCCGCTCGGCGCGCCAGCGGCCCCAGGCCGTGACGTCGTCGCCGTCGTCCAGCTGCATGAGCGCCTCGGCCGCCATCATCTCGTGCACCTCGTCGCCCCAGTACAGGGTGCGCATGTCCCGTCGGAGCGAGCTGCGGGGAGGGGCCTTCTCGCTGAGCGCCGACCAGGTGCTCAGCTGCTTCTTGATCCTGTCGGGCATGGTCCACTGGCCGGCCGGCGTGGTGGACTTGCTGCTGGGCTTGAAGTTCTTGGCAACCCTGGCACTCTGCTGGGCTCTGAACTTGTTGCCAGCCCGGCTCGAGGAGGCGGGGGCCGAAGGGGCAATGGCGGTAGAGGGAGACATGTTGTTTGCTTGAGAGGGTGTGGTGGTGATTATGTGTTTGGTTGGGTGCGATGTCCGAGACACGAGCCGGTCAAGGGCAACGAGGTATAGAGTAGGAAGATGTAGAAAGGTGGTAGGCTAGGCGGAGGGATTGGAGCTGCTTGTTCTTGTTTTGCTTAGCGAATGCTTGCTTGACCAACAGAAAGCAGATTTCTAGTAGCTGTGTTTGTGATGTGTGCTGTGCCAGGAGAAACTAGACACCACTGTCCAGCTACTGCCTGGGAAGCTCTCTGCTATATACAACAACCCGCTGCCATTTCCGCCAACGCTGCAGCTTCGCAAGCCCTCCCCACCTTTCAACGGACTCACAGGCCCGAGACTATCTCCGGTGGCGCTCGCCCTCAACCAAAGGTATCGTGAGCAGAAGGCAGACAGCTGACTAGGCAAGGCTGCTTCTCAGCGTGGAAGCTTTGGAGGTACCACATATTTCTGAAGCATGGACCTCGTGGACCGCCTTCGGAGAAGGCTAGGAGAGTCATCTCGGCACAAGCAACTCGGAAATAGAGACGTTGAGCGGAGCTTTGATGTCATCCAGCACCTGTTGAAGAGAGTTGCTGAAGTGTTTCGAAGATTGGTTTATGCTGATTGGCGGATGGAGAACCTAGATTGAGAGAATAGAGTACCGTGTCAGACGCGTGACCGAAGCTAAGGGGAAATGCTCACTAGTATGGCAGCATAGACGTTGAAGGGGCTGACCCACATCATCAGCTTGCCTGGCTCTGCGTTATAGACTTCTTCCCAAACGTGTGGCGGAAGTCTCCAGCCTCCCCGAGCCGTTGAGCCGTCGGCAGACCCAGACAGTCGGAGAAAGGAATCGTTGGGATTAACGTCCAATTAAGCTTATCCCCATCGGTAGTATGACATTTCCCCAGCCTCAGCTGCTGCCACGAAGTGCCCAGGCTGCCAGGGAAGGAAAGCAAGTTTGACAACAGCACCACCCAAATGGGACCATCAAATATTATCCTCGTCGATGTCGTCAATATGTGGAGCGCTGAGGATGAACTCGGCGACCGTGTAGCCCTTCAGTTCGGGCGCCTTGGCCCCAACCTCCTTCTTGTCGGCCGGAGCCTTACCGGTCCCCTCCGGCCCCTGAACCTTATCCTGGTCCGCTTTAACCTTGGTCTCGTCTGCCGGCGGCGCCTTGACAACGTTGCCACTCCCATCGACATCGACCAGGACGTCCTTGGTGTCCAGCGAGCCGTCTTCGGTGTATGTCCACATGTCGTGCAGCTCGCCTCTGACTGTGCCTGTCAGCCAGGCGGCGCCCGTGACGCAGGGGACCAGGTACAGCAGGGCCGGCTGGCCGTGCCGGAAGACGAGGAGCATCGCAACGGTCAGCGCCATGCCGGCCGCGTACCCAATCATGGACGCAAAAAAGTACGTCTTGGGAAACGCCATGGCCCGCAGCCCAGGAGTGGGGATTTCGCCAGTCAGCCGCAGAGGCAAGGTCCAGAACCAGTCGCCCCAGCGCCCCTGGGGGTCCATGAACTCTGCCTTGATTTCGAGGTCCTTAGTCTCGACGAGCTTGCGCGTTTCTGTGGTAATGTCCAGCACGTCTTTGTCCGTCGACGCAGCCTCGAACTCGGTCGTGAGCTTAGTTGGGACGCGAGTGGTCTGCTTCTGGTAATGTCGCCACAGGTCAAAGCGCAGACAGAGGCAGATGAAGATTCCAGGGAGCACAATGTCGCCCAGACCCAGCAAGCTCGACCGCGCTTCATTCTCAAATGTCATTTTAATAGGAGCATCGATCTTGGTCGCCACCGTGACCATGAAGGGGCTGTCATGGGTAACACCCTAGTGTCAGTTTACGGAGTGGCATTGGGAGCTGTGAAGGCGCCAGACATGTAAATACTCACGTATAAAATACCATCACAATGTCGTATACAAAGAGCCCAGCCAGGACCATGCTGCCGATCAAGAACGAGGTGGGCGACATGAGCATGAAGGCGCCGTATGACATGCCTGCGGCCATCAGGTTGGAAAGGGAGGACGAGTCCGTTATGTGATAGGCGGCCGCGACGGCGGTGGCGCCAAGGAACCCCAGGACGCCATTGAGAGTGACCTGGAATTCGTCAAAGCCAACCCCGTGCAGGCCCAACTTGACAGTCCAGCTCTCCTTGAGCAACATGCGAGCGGTCCACATGGCACGCTTGAAAAGGGGCAGCGGAAGCAGGAGGAGCGGGCCGGGGCCGGGAAAGGTCGTGTCCTTGGACTCGTCGACCTCCCAGGCGCCGCTGCCTCCCTCGGCGGAGGCGGGGGCGCTGACACGGCGAAGCTGGCGCCTGGCGACAAGATCGAAGCGGTACAGGCGTCCGAACTGGTCGGCCCAGATGTTGGGGAAGACGAAGCCCGTGGCGAGGTGCAGGGCGTCGCCCATCAGCTTGCCTAGGCTGGCGAGCGAGGCGAGGGAGAAGTAGTAGCGCATGAACTTGCTGAGGATGTCCGGGTCGTCGAGCCAGTGGAGCAGGTAGTAGAGCCCGATCAGGGCTACGGCGGCGAGGACGGGGAAGACGATGGCGTCGGTGGCCTGGAAGCCCTCGGCGAAGCTCTCCTCCTCCTTCCTGGCGGCGGCGTTGACCGCCTTGGCCTTGCCGTCGCGGGTCCTGGGCACGCGGGGCGCGGCGGACGGGGGCCTGCGCAGGGCGCCGTGGGCGCCGATGTAGATGATGGACATGGCCGAGAGCACCATCTTCAGCTGGACGATGACCAGGTCGCGGTCGACGCGCGACAGCAGCTCCTCGAGGGTCGGCATGGAGGGCAGCTGCAGGTTTAGACACCCCCTGTCGCTTAGCAGGCACCACGTGAACGGTGCTTCTTGTGGCATTGTTGGTTGGCCACAGTCTCTCTCTGGAGAACCGGCGGGTCTGTGTTTTTTCACCTTTATAACGGTTCGTGCGAGAAAGGAGTGATTGCGTTTGATATGGGGAGGATAGATGACTGCCTACTTGGCATCCACCCAAACAGCTAGTCAGACGGGCAGATCCTGCCGTTGACTAGAGGCCACGCGACAAAACCAAGGGTCGATAGCGCCGATCTGGGTCGATAGCACCGAGAGGAATAGGTGTCTTTTTGTCTCTCAAGCAGCTTTCAAAACTCAGGCAGCGCTCCGAGTGATGCTGCCGTCGATGAAAAGTCACGAGGCACTGCAAAGGACCAATGGTTAACGTCCACTGCTGATGCGGCAGCTACGGCTCAGTCCGCACCCCGCTGCAGCCCAGAGCTGAGGCTGCGCGTGGGGCGTGTGAGCGCTGCATCATTGGCCAATTGGGGCTCGAGCCGCAGGGCTTTCGGATTACTAGATTGAATTCCATCAAATCGCGTCCACGCTCAGCGCTTGGCCATCCTGACAAGCACCCAGCCTGCCCTGGCAAAAAGTTGACTACAATCGACGGTCGCCCCAACATGACCACCGCCGTGTCCCTCGAGACCACTATGGTGTGCCATTGTCCCCGCCTCTCCCCTCCTTGCCATACCCCGCTGCAAGACCGGCCAGACGCCATGCTGACCTCGAAACCAAACACCACTCCCAGGGCACCATAGTGGTCGAGCTGTACACGGAGCACGCCCCGAAGACGTGCGAGAACTTCTCCCAGCTCGCGCGGCGCGGCTACTACGACGGCACCCTCTTCCACCGCGTCATCCCCGACTTCATGATCCAGGGCGGCGACCCGACGGGCACGGGCCGCGGCGGCTCGTCCATCTACGGCGACAAGTTCGCCAACGAGATCAGCCCGTCGCTCAAGCACACCGGCGCCGGCGTCCTCAGCATGGCCAACGCGGGCCCCGACACCAACGCGGGCCCCAACACCAACGGGTCGCAGTTCTTCATCACGCTCGCGCCCGCGCCCTGGCTCGACGGCAAGCACACCATCTTCGGCCGCGTCCGGTCGGGCATGAGCGTCGTCAAGCGCATGGGGCTCGTGCCCACGGGCGCCGAGGACAGGCCGGCGACGGAGCTCAAGGTCGTCAAGGCCTCGATCGTGACCGAGGACGACGACGCCATGGCATAGGAACATGTGGCTGGAGACGGGGGGGGCTTCTCCTGGCCTATTTGTTACTTGGCACCACGGCTGGGACTAGGGTTCGAGCTCAGCCCACGAGAATATGACGACATACACAGCATGAACGGCGATGGCCGCTGGCGTTGGTATATAGCACTATGATATGATACCCCATTTGCAGTAACCTACAGTAGAACCACTCACAGGCCAGGGCCATTTTGCTTTGATGTCTGAGAGTATGGCCCGGAGCACAAAGAGGCTATCGTTGATGCGCGGCATAATGATGGCCCGCGACCGGCTTTAGGACGACTCCGGCGCCGGTCCGACCTTGCCGAGAGCTTGGGAAGAGATGAACAGCACGGCTCTCGACCGTGCGTCGCGGATTTTATGATCAGAAGTTTGGCAGCTCCCATGCGTGAATCAACGACAAGCGATACTAGTTGATATGCAGCAGACAAATTACCCTTGAGGGCTTTTGCGGCAGCCTGGTTCCCCAAGGAAGCGGACAAGAAGGTCAAGCCGCCGAAGCCGAGATCACGAGTATAAACTTCACATGGGGCGATCCAGCAACGCAAGGCCCAGGGTTCGGGGAGCGGTGACCGGGGTTCTCCGCGAACGGTTGCACGCTCGCGGTCCAGCCTAGCTGATCTTCCCACTTTGTCCCCGTGCTTCGGAAGCGAGATTGGGCAGCTTCGAGCGGCCTTGATATCACGAGTCGCGGGCCAACCTTGATCAAGTCAGTCGGCGCAGACGGGGCTTGGGAGCATCAGGACTGTGGATGAGGACGGAGTCGGATTCCGGCTGGCAACTGGCTGACCGCTGGCCGGGCATGAGGCACAGATGAGCCAGAGGCAGCCCAGATGCAAAAAGCTAAGCCACATGCGGTGCGCGTCCGGGGCGGGCGGCCGCGCACACTCTGGCGTGTGTCGGCAACAGTAAGAAAGAATGCGGTGTACGTAACATAAAGAAAAAGCCACACAGATCAGCAGCGCAACTCGCCGATGGACATCGCCGCCCGCCCCTTGCCCAAAAGGACAAGATATGTGATCTACGGTAGGCTAGAGAAAGTGGGAAGGCAGGGGCAAAGGGAGGAGAAAATGCAAGATCGAGATGGATGATGAAAGAGCACAGGAGGCTAAGCGGCTACGGCACAGCTGAGTCGTGTGCAAGGCAGGCCGACAGAAGAGCTGCCGCACTGCCACACTCTGCTATTTTCCTTGCATAAACAACGGCGTGCGTAAAGCCGCGTGTCGGCTCAGTTCTCGTTGGCTGAGACGGGACGAAAAAAAAAAAAGCGTCGACGGGCTTGGCTTGCTGCTCAGCGCGTCAGTTGTCGGGCGCGGGGAGGAGAGGAACACACTACAGCAGCACTAGTTGCACTAAGTCGGGCAAGGCCATTCTCGACAGCGAATGGGAGCGCTGGCAGACGACATGGAACGCAAGTCCTGCTTTCTCTCTGGTCCGGCCGGGTTGTTTTGGGCGCTGCAGGCCGCCGCCCCCACTTTTTTGTCTTCTCCTGGCTTTGGCTACCTTGCAGGCGAGAAGCTGTGTCCAGTTGGTTGTCCGGGCGTCGTCGTCATCACACACCAGATTTAGCCACCGCATCCAACGCAGTCGGGCCAGCCGCCACCCAAACCCGACGCGAGGCGGCGGGGGAATGAGGGAGGGAGGATCGAGCTGGGCCGGATACTGCCTCGAAACACCGAACTGCCCACACGCCCCTGCCCTTGCTGGAAACACGAAGGAATCCGTGTGAAGGAGGAGAGACAAGCCGCTCGAGGGCCAGAAGAAAAGGCAAGAAACTTCACTTGGGTTGGGCTTGCAGACAAGGGTGAGGTGGGAGGAGAGGAAAAGGCTAAATGATGGCACTTAAACCCAATTTGGCGACTTCTCACCGTGCTAGACAACTCATGCAAAGCGGGCCGCAATGTCAACACACGCCCATGCAATTTTGTTTGGGCGCTCGGGTAGTGGGAACAATGACGGTAGGCAGAGGCAGGTATCCAGTATGTACATTAGGGCTCCTAGACAGCAGGCAGAGCGCACTGGTCAAGCCGCCAGTCAGATCAGTCACACCTCTAGAGGGGGCGGTCGCTCGGGGCAGCCTGCAGCCGTCAAAAAGCAGGTCAACAGGGGCGAGGCGAGAGGAGGGAGAAGATACCAGAAGTAGCGCCAAGACGAACAAAAAGAAACAAGAAAAACACGAACGGAAGTCGTTGATAAAGTCCGTGCAGGGGCCCTTGGCGTGCACTCTCGATGACACCCCAGATCCCACCCCCGCGCCGTCCTCCCAAGCACACTCACTCCATCCAAGGCGCCAAAAACCAGAATCGATTGGTTTTGTTTGTTTCTTTGGACGGTCCCACCCAAGATGGGCCTCCACACCACCCGCACCGTGGTGTATGTAAGCTGAAGGGGCAGAATTACGAGATGGTGGTGACATTGCATGTCGGAACGGAGGGAGAGGGGGGCCGGGAAGCTACTAGTACAGCAAAGAATCGACAGTCGATAGGCAAGGAGGGAAGGGGAGCAAAACATCCGGTTCGCACACGGGCTGCAGAAGCAATTGGGAAGGATGAGGATGGCGGGCCGTGATTTCAGGCCATTGATGCCCCAGCAAAACAAGAAAAAAAGAGACAAGAGCAAATGGGAAAACAATGGAAAACACCTGGGGCTGGCGAGAGTGGGCTGGCCAAACGCTCATCTCTGCTAGGCCGGACCAATGGGGATGGGTGGTGGCGCTGCTGGAAGAGGAATGGCCGCTGGTGCTCGGCTGGGATGGTGGCCCTCGCCCCGCCAGCCGACGCGAATGGTTCCTCTTGGGGCCTGGGCTGAGAAGCTGCCGGTGCGTTCCAAGGCACCCTGCTAGCTCCGGGTTTTCTGGGACCCCAGGCACGTTGCCCAGCATCGGGCGTCGTGTGCATCGGCCGATCAAGGGGCGATGCTAGTCCCTCTCGAAAAGAAAAAAAAAACAGACGAGGAAAACGAAAGTCGATAAATAACTCTCATCCCGTCTGGCCCGGTCGTGGACTCTCTCTCACTCTTTCTCTCCTCACCACGAGCTGTTTGCCTACTACAGTCCTCTTCGCCTCCACTGTAATAATACTCATCCAAACCACCTTCGCTCGCCATCAGGACCAGTCTGTTGCTTAGCTTCAAGCCCAATCCAACCCGCCCAACATGAAGACCACTCTCATCCTCGCTGCCGCCGCCGGCGCCCTGGCCCAGAACCTCTCTGGCATGCCCGCCTGCGCTGTAAGACGTCCCACTTCACCGTCGATTCCCACATGCAGAAGACGCCCTAATGACTAACACATACCTCGTCACAACCACAGACCTCCTGCATCAGCGCCGCCGTCTCCTCGGCCGGCTGCGCCCAGACCGACGTGGCCTGCCAGTGCGGCACCGCTGCGGCGCCCATCGCCACCATCGCCGGCGCCTGCGTGCTGGGCGTGTGCCCGGCCTCCGAGATCAACAACGTGATCGCCGCCGGCTCGGCCCTGTGCGCTGCGGCCGCTTCGACGACGGGCGTGACGGCCAGCACCTCGCGCACCACGGGCACCGTCAGCGCCACGCTGAGCAACAACTCTACCACCGTCGTCGCTCCCGTCACCACCAGCACCGGCTCCGTCACCCTGACGGGCACCAACGGCACGCTGTCCACGTCCTCCCGCTCCGGCACCGGCGGCTCCGTCGTCACGTCGACCTCCACCCCCGGCGGCACCGGCACCGGCACCACCGCCCGCGGTGGCTCCACCACCTCCACGGCCAACCCCAACGCCGCCGCCACCCCTGCCATCCTGGGCGCCGGTGCCCTGTTCGGCTTCCTGGGCTTCGCTGCTGCTCTGTAAATTGAGTGTGCTGGACAATGAGTGTGAGAGGAAAACGTCTAAAAAAGACCAACTTAATGATAATAACGAGGACGGCAAATGAATCTCTTTGGGTGGCATTGCATGGCTTTTTATGAGGAGGAATGCAATCCCGCACGACGCTCTTTTGAACTGTTTATACCCAAGACGGGTGGAGGGTGGTGAGAAGTAGAGACGTCGGCGCACAGAACCACGTCGACGTAGGAGAGGTAAATGTTTCTTTACTAGCTCTGGGAAACCCCCGGAACGATGCACAGAAAATCAAGTACCAACCTCTTTCCACGAAAATAGTCAAACCATGCTTGTGTGAATCCTCCGCATCCCACCTTTCCATCCGAGATGCATGTCGACGGGCTCAGAAGAAAGATGCCCGCGCCTCGGCAAATTCTACAATCTCATCCACCGTCACGTCAACAAACGGCGCGCGCAGGTTCATGGCCAGCCCGTCCTGCACCCTCCCGGGCGTCCGGACGGCCGTGCAGATCATGTAGCTGTCGGCACCGCCGCCGTCAAACGACCTCAGGCAGACGTTTGCGTCCTCGACCCTCTCGCCGCGGAGCCAGATGCTATGCTCCGTCAGCACGGCGCTCTCGGCGGCGGCGCCCGCGGGGCGTGGGGGTGCGACGGCCCTGAACTCGAGCTCGCGCAGCCACGGGGCGACGAGGGCGTCGCCCGTCATCTTGACGTAGGCCTCGCGCAGGCACCACAGCGCGTAGAAGCAGCGCAGCTTGTAGTCGAGCAGCGCCTCGGGCGTGTTGCCCATGTCCTCGCGTCTGGCACCGTTGCTGCCTGACGACGGCGACGACAGGACGGCGTACTTGAGGTGGGCGGCCTCGGCCGGGCTAAAGACGTCGGCGTGCATGTCGACAAAGGCCGGCCAGCCGTCGGACGCGACGGCGTCGTGGTCGCGGGCCCGGCGCTCGCTGGGCGAGACAACATCGACGCCCACCTCGACATTTAGGTCGTCGCCGCCGCCACCGCCGCTGCCGTCGGGGTAACAACCTACGGCGGCCAGGGCCACGAGGCCGGCCTGGTGGCTGACGTTGAAGGCGACGGGCTGGCGGCCCGTGGCGGCGTCAACGTGGACGGGCTTGGAGCGCGCGTCGGGCCCGACCGTCGTCTCGCCCCAGGGCACGCCGGCCAGGCGGGCCACGGCGTAGTGCTTGAGTAGGTGCGAGACCAGTGACATGCGGGCGTCGCGCGCGAAGACGTACTTGAGCACGCCCGCGCGCTCCGCGGGCGGGAGGAGGGCCAGGGCTCTAGACTACATTCCTTTCAACCAGTGTTCCTGGCTTGAGTTATTGGTCTGCCTTCCCCCCCATCTTACCAACACACACGCAAGAGAGGAAGACAGGGGGTGGTGGGCTCGGCGAAACATACAGCGCCGGGGTGCGTCTCCAGCTGCCGCGTCTGGGTCGCCTCGGGCCACAGCTTCCGCGTGTCGACGACCCACTGCACGATGGCTGGCGCGGGGTGGTCCGCTGTTGGTGACGCTGCCATGTTGTCTGATGTGGTTTCTGTCCACGGCTAGTTCCGGTCAAAGGATGTGGTTCTGGATCTTTTCCGTCTACTGTATACAGTACTTTGCGCACACATTGGTTTACCCATCTCGTGTCCGTCACAAATCCGGTCTAGATTCCGGTCCAGACTTCAAGCGTAGCTGGGATTCACAGAGCCACGTGACACGCATGCAGGGCTTGAATTCAATTACCAACATCAGACAAGAGATGCCTCTCCCCCTTGGCCACGCATCGAAGCTTGACACGCAGATCTGAAATTTCCCTCCATGTGTCCAGCACGTTGTTAGCAGTCTAGGCGGCACTAGGCACGCTGCAACGGGCCTGGGCAACCGCTCGGCTCTTCCGAAGGGTCTAGGACGAAGATCATACTACATCCATAGTGCGAAGGAGCTGCACCGCGTGAGAGGTTTATTGCCAGAGTTCTCAATTTCAAATCGGTGGGCAGGCAATCAAGCCACGGGGCGTGTGCATTCACGGCAGCGGTCTGAGCCATTAATTGGAGTTGGGTAATGCAAATGGAACAATAATGCAGAAGAAGCGAATCGAAAAACGCTCGAGTTCCAAAAAAAGAAACCCAAAAAAAAAAAACCGAACGAGAGTGGCGGTGGTGTGTGGACGGCACACCCCAGCCTCCGCCGCCCGTGGAGAAACACATCAGGCCACCGCTACAGCGGATGAAACGCGAAAACTGCGAGCACTTCCAGGGGGCACAGTGGGCTCGCAGGGCCTGGACCGCCGATCCTGCGCCCGCGATTGGCCGCCCCGCGCCGGCGCGCCCACCCCCGCCCGTCTTCCCTTCTCTGCCACCTCAGCAAAACTGGAGCCTCGCCGGGAATGGCAGGGTTCGGATTGGCCGCCCTCGTTCCATGGATGCTTCCCGGTAAGCGGCATTTGATCAGGAATCAATATCCAAGGCAGCACCGGCTGCTATGGTGGTGCCCCTTATAAAAAGTTCACACCACCTCGTCTCACCCACATCTTCTTCCCTCCTCTTCTCTCCTCAGGTCCCCCCTCGTCTTCCCTTGGGGGATTCTCATCAGCCCACCCCGCCTCTGCTTTTGGCTGCGTGCTTTTTTTCCTTGAGCCTCCTCTCTTCGGTGCCCCCGTTCTGAGACGGAGCGGCTCGGAAAGGTGTCGGTTCCTCGCCTGGTTCTCTTCCCGTCTTGCCACAGCCCTCGTCGCCGTGGCGCGCCTGGTCAGCCTTCACATTGATGGCTTGAACCGCCCCACGCAGCTGACTTGTGGCCCGCAAGCCCAAGTTCCCCAACAAGAAACCAACACGCGCAGCGAGCCGACACACGCGCCATGAACAAGCATGCCACCGCCACGTCTCTTTCTTCCCTCAGCTCCGCTGCTGTGACGCGGACAGGATGACCGCGAGAGTCTGCACGGGATGCAGTCAAGCAATCATCACCGTCAACCAGAGACCCCGTCCCCTGCTCCTCCGCCACAGCCAGCGTCTGAAGCACCAACGAGGAGAAACGATTCGGCACACATGCCGCGACACACATACCACTGCTCCGCTAGAAGGACCCCGGGCCCCAATCGGCACCCCCCGTCTCTCCTGTGACCTCTCTCCGGGATCGCAGACGGGGTTGCGGGCCACCGGCGCCGCCCGGGTCCTGAAGCGTTGTTAGCATCCGCTCCGTTCCTTATCTGCTATCAAAAGATGCATTCTTAGCAGCTGCCGCTTCCGTGCTTCGCGAGCGAGGTCGTGCGAAAGGAAGGCGCCGATTCAAACCGGCCCGACTTTTTTCCGCCACCCTGCCCGCGCACAATCCGGCATGCGCTGTGCATCCCCAAAGGAACGTTGAGCGGGACTCGCCTCTTTGGCTCTCTGTACGAGAGTCGAATCGAAGCGCGAGTTGCTGGTCATCAAACACACAAATCCTCCCCTTCTCCACCCATCAGGGCCATTCTCATGCGACTTGTCTCCGAAAACGAGCGCGTCCGCCTCCACCGGCGTTCCGATGCTGCTCTTTTTTTTCTTGCGAGACGCGAGTTCTGGGGAATGGGATCGTGATGAAGCTCACGCCGGGGGACGTCCCGCCTCGCGGAGGGAAACCGTCCACCCCCCCGCACGCGAGAGCTCTCGCCTTCCGCCGCGCGACCTGGGGCGTATTTTCTCGATTGAAGGGTCGAGCGAGAGAGAAAGCACAAGCCGGAGTGAGAAGGATGACGATGAGCCCACTTTCGAGTCGAGGATCTTGTCTCCTTTTTTTCTTCTCCGATGAACCAAAAACCACCCTGTGAAGCAACTTGGGATCTGGCTTCCTCTTCTCTTGGAGAGCGACGGCCTTTGAAACTGATGTGGAGGGTCCCTTGCTGATTGAAACCTGAACCTTTACGTGGTGCGAGGGATGTGATTCCACGTTGGTGGGTGCCTTGGCATCATCACCATGTGGACAGACCAATACAGGCTTTTCATAGATGCAATACAAGTATCATGTAATTGAATTGTCTATTTGCTGTGTGTGCACCCTGACCCATCTTGGTGACTACGAAGCCCCAGTTGCCGTTGTTACATGAATCTTATCCATCTTGATAATCTCGCATCTTCGTGCCCCTATTAGCAGTACAGCAAACGTAAGCCCATCTCACCACGGTGTCATCAGCACAAGGCCCCAACACTCACCAGCCTCACGTGTCACCCCCAACACCACCTCCCACCTCCCCGCCGCCGTTGGCCGGCTCCACGACCGCCACCCTCCCTCGCCTGCCTCCCGGCACGGCGACGTAGCCGCCCGCGACGTCGAGCCGCCTGGCGTTTGCGTTGCTCAGCGCTAGCAGCGCCGCGCTGACGAGCAGCAGCAGCATGACGACGAGCGCACCGGCCTGCGTCCAGTTGCCGCTGACGGCCGCCACCAGGTGCACGCACAGCTTGGCCGCGGCCTCGAGGTAGCCCTCGACGTGCGTCTCGGCCCGCAGCCACGCCGACCCGGCCGCGCCCGCCAGGTCCGCCGCCGTCCCGCGCAGGCACACCTTGCGCCCGTCGGGGAGGGTCACCAGGAGCGAGACGAGGGCGTGGTCGGGTGGTGGCGGGTGGGCGTGGTTGTGTGCCGTGGCCTGCTGTTGTTGTTGTTGTTGCTGGCGGCTGAGGCGGCGCTGCTGGCGGCGCGGCTGCGAGGTAGACGCGCTGGACGACGAGGCGGCACTGCATGACGCCGTCGATGGGTGTCGCGAGGGCGAGTGCGGGGCGGCGTTTCGGGCCGCGCGCTGCTTGATGACCCAGATGTTGAGGAGGCGGGACAGCATCAGGGCGCAGATGCAGCCGAGCGCCCACCCTGGAGGAAGGAGTAGTTTACTGTCAGTAACACAAGGTCAGGGAGGTTTGATAGGAATATCTGGTTGACTTACAGTCATGTATTAGAACCAGCAACGCGATGGCGCCGAGGGTAAGGAGCGGGCCCATGAGGTAAAGCAGGTGAGAGAGCCAACCAAAATCCGGAACGACCAGCTCATCCGGGTCGTCGTCGTTGTCGTCATCGTCCCCTTCGCGGTATGCAGCCTCCAGCCCCCCGTCCCCGCGCACCAGCCTCCTGCGCTTCGCCCCCAGCCCGGGCCCGCCGCGGCCCTTGGCCGTACCGTCCGCCCTCCTCCTTCCCCTAGGCGGCAGCCGCCCGACATCGAGCGTGACCAGCTCCGCGTCCCGGGCGACGCGCTGGCAGAACTGCGACAGCGCGGCGTTGTTGACGGCCAAGGAAGGGGCGGCGGCGGCGGCGGCGCGGGAGCCGTCGGGTCGCAGCTCGGTAGTGGGGAGCGACGGCGGCAGGCCCGTCCGGCGGGCCAGCTCGCCGGCGGCCTGCTGATAGTGGAGGCCGGGAACCAGCAGCAGGCTGTCGAGCCACGACGACCCGCCCGTCAGCGCCGTGCGCTGCTGCACCGTCGACAGGTCCGCCAGCGCCAGCAGGCCGCCTGCCGACAGAGACACGCCCGGGATGGGCGTCTGCGGCAGCCAGCCCGGGAAAAGGCTCTGCCGCCCGGATGGATCCTACATTGGGGGCGCGGGAGTGGCGTTTGGTCGTTGGTCAGCTGAACGGTCGTCTAGCGCAAAGATGGTGGGTGAGTGTGGTTGGCGGTGCCTCTACGCACCTCCATCTTCAGGCGGGTTCAGCCGCGCGAGGGGCGCAGCCAGTCGGGGTGTTTCCTGTTTCTCTAGCGAGCTTGGGCAAAACAGCGCCTAGAGGGGATGGAAACGATGATGAGTGGAAGAATTTCTAATAAGCTTGGATTTGATGGGTGTAATATTCATCACACCTGGCCTGGCTTTCCCTTCAATCCAAGAGCTGTGTCAGATCGAACTGGTAGCTGATGTCTATTCGACATCACAGACAGGCCTTGAACCACTGAGGAGCGTTGCCGGGTCCGGCTTGGTTTATAGACAGCATGGGTAGGCAGCGATAGGGTTGGCAGCCTTCGATGGCTTCGCGGCCAGCCTGGGGTATCAGCCTATCTAATATGATGCACGTAGGTATCCGTGTCTTGCCGTGCGCAACAAGGGCACTCTGCTCCGCGTAGGCCGCCAGCACCGAGCCATCCCAACACCCATCCACAGGCGGCTTAGTAGCGGTAGTAACCCCTGAGATGCGGGGAACGAGACAAAAAGGCACCTCGTGACGAAATGGACGGTGTGTCAAGGACGGCAAACACGGCAGACCTCTCCCCAATACCCCCTCATCAGAAGGGCTTCTCCTCCACGTTGGCAATATGCAGCATGTCACAGGTTGGCTCTGATCCAAGGTTGGCTGACGTCGTAGGTTTCCTTCACACCACCTGCACCATCGCGAATTGTCAGTGTGGAGCTTATCTGTTGTGGGGCCAATCAGCTGATCTCGATTTTCTTGTCATGGGAAAGCTGTGGGGTGGGAGCTGCAAAGCTGCCATCGATAAGGACGACAACGACGACGACGACGACGACGAGCAGCAGCTCCAACGAACAAAGCTTGGTCTGAAACCCCCTCCCACCGGAGGAGAGAATGCCTCCCCAGGAGGACTAGACATACAGGAGCCTGATCCAAACCATCAACTACCATGCCTCGGCCCCGCCTCGTGCTGCGGCGGCTCCTCCGCCAGGCCGCCGCCCCGCGACACGCCTCGTCGCTCTCGCGCCGCTCGCGCCCGAGCCTGCCCTTCCTCTCGAGCCCGCCGCCGCAGCAGCAGTTCCGCCTCATGACCACGGAGCGCCGCCGTTGGCTCAAGCACGAGATCATTATGACGGCCCGCTACACCCTCGTCTTCGCTGGCATGAGCGTGTGCGCCCTGGCCGCCGCCTTCGTGCTGCGCGAGGAGGCCCGCGAGCGCGAGTTCCCCACCCCGCACGAGTGGTCCTTCATGACCCGCGGCCTGATCCGCGAGGCCCTGGCCCAGCGCGCACGCACCGACGTCGTCCAGACCGACTGGGTCAGCGTCTTCCAGCTCCTGCGCGACGCCGTCCGCCGCCTCGAGGACCCGGCAAAGGACGGCAGGGGCCTCTCCGACGTCCCGCTCGGCGAGGACCCCCCGCACCCGGACGGCAGCAAGGACCTCTCGGGCCGCAGCGAGGAGTGGAGGCGGGGTTACTACGACGCCCTGATGGCCCTGGCCAAGGCCTCGGAGCATGTGGAGGGTTTCGTGCTCGACACCACGCGCAATACCGCCTTCCCGCCTGAGCTGATGATCGGGCCGTCCAACCCGAGGCCCCGCCCCATCCCCCCTGGGTCAAAGAGCGCCCCGCGCGAGGAGGACTGTGTGCTAGCCTTCGAGGAGACCCCCGACGTGCTGTACCCGCGCCTGCTCGGCACGCGCGGCTTCACGCCCAGGCAGTGCATGGATGCTGCGTTGGCCTATGCCTCTTGGCTCGAGTTCAAGGGCGTGCATGGGCCGGCGCTGGTTATGTACGAGAACGCAGTGAACATCGCGCTTGGGGACGATGTATACCCAGGAACTAGCTCGACAAAAGAGCAAGGGGAAAAGTCCTCTGCGCCCCACAAAAAAATCCTAGATCCCAAGGTGTGGACGCTGGAGGAGTCGGTCGGCCTCCCATCCGCAAATCTCCTCAATTCATTAACATGCTATGCATCCTTCCGAGCGAGGCAGGGTGATGTCTCCTCGGCGCTACCAATAATGGTTTCTATACTGAGGGCACGACGGTCATTACCCAGCCTCGGCGCCGAGGATGGGATAGCAGCATCCAGACGCCAGGCTCGTCCGATCAGACCTGCAGTCGAGCGCGCGCTGCCTGAAAGGATAGCGGATATAATCATCGGCGCCTTCAGCCCGCCGGCCTTCCCGGAGGCGCCAGACGACGGGAGCAGGCCTCCGGTGCGTGACTCCAAGGCTCTGTGCGAGGAGGCGGCCCTGCACATGCACATCGGCGAGGTCATGTTCTCGGCGCGCGCGTCCGGCACTGCCGTCGCGGGCCGGCGCGAGGACGGGCTCGCGTGGACGCGCGAGGCCGTCGACATGGCCGAGGAGCAGCTGCACAAGCTCATGGGAGGCGGCAACGACGTCGAGAGCCCAAAGGCGCCCGGCAGCGGAGTCGGCAGGGGAAACCAAAACGGCGGCCTCGGCGGCGCCATCGGGCTGACGAACCCGTTCGCGGAGAAGAAGCTGGACCCCAGGGATGAGGCCAGGAACAGGTGTCGCGAGTGCCTGGCGGCGGGGCTGGACAACTGGGCGGCCATGGTGGCGCAGCTCGCGCGCGAGGAGGAGGCGCGGCGGGTGCAGCAGGAGAAGTCTGGCGGCGGCGGCGGTGGGGCCGGAAGCAGCTGGCTCAGCCTCTGGGGTGACAGCCGGGCCGAGGAGGAGCAGCGGGCGGGCCGGTGGGCGGCCGAGGAGAAGGTGGTGGCTGAGAGGCGGAGGCGGGCCGAGGCCCTGCTGGAGGACTCGGGCGCGCCGGCGAACGGCGTCATGTCTCTGTTGTGGGCGTAAAAGGGGTAGCTATGTGGGCTATTTGCTGTCCAGGGAGGTATACATACAGGACTTTCCGGGGCATACAAGGTGTACGAGGAATGGGCAATATACGAATTCACATCATGCATCGGGTCAGCACAATCATGTTTTATGGAATCTCGGCCTTGACCTCGAAATGCCGAATTCTTGACCTGAGAGGACTGGAGACTTCAAAAGGTGCTGTAAGTGACGCAAAGAGCAAGTGATTCGTCCCATTGAACATATGTGGGGCAATTGAGCACGGGCCCAGGGGAAGCTCCCCCATGCATTGGCGGCTGTTTCGTCAACTCAACTTCGATTATCTTTCCCACCAAGCTTCCCGAAAAGCACAAGCCAGAACACAAGCTGTACCCGAACGCGCGACGGCCCTAGCAACCCCAGAACCAGCAATGTCGACCGTCCCCGCCGAGCCGCCCGCGCCGCCGGCGTCGTCGACGTCCAAGACGGACGAGGCGGGCGAGCCCAAGTACGGCGGCTACACGCGCTTCGAGCTCGAGCTCGAGTTCGTGCAGTCGCTGGGCAACCCCGTGTACCTCAACCACCTGGCGGCGCAGAAGCTGCTGTCGCAGCCGGCCTTTGTGGCCTACCTCGAGTACCTGCAGTACTGGACGCGCCCGCCCTATGTCAAGTACCTGACGTACCCGGGCCCCACGCTCCGCAACCTCGAGCTGCTACAGCAGGAGCGCTTCCGCCAGGACATCATCAGCCCGGACCTGGTGCACGGCATGATCCAGGGCGGCATGCGCGCCGCCGTCGAGTGGCACAAGAAGACTTGACGGGGGACGAGAGGCCGTGCGGTTGACGAGGCACCGTGTCTGTCTGTCTGCCGTTGCACGAATATCATCCATATCATTAGACTACGAGATCGTTATTTTTGCCCGATTCGCCAAGTCGCCGTCGATATTTACTCAAAAAAAAAGCCCCGGCCGCGACATCGCAAACAAACAAGCCGGACCATACCGAACGCCCCGTCCCCGTTGCCCCAAGAACAGCAATCACGAATGCAGACAATAACAAGGCCGGCTCAGTTCTCACGCCACCGATGGCCACAGGCCATGCACTACCATCAAGAATCAGCAAGAGCTCGCCCCCCCAGACCCCCGCCACACCATCAAAGCCAGAGAGAACATACCTTGAAGAAGCTCGTCATGGGCTCGTCGGCGCTGCGGATCTGGACCTGGAAGAAGGCGGCCTCGTCGCCGTCGCAGCCGTCGGCGGGGCACTGGACCTTTGCCTTTTGGGCGTTGTCCCAGGCGCCGGGCCCGCCAAAGACGTCCTCGCGCTCCTTGCGCACAAAGTCCTTGCGGCTGAAGAGCGGCTCCGAGATGGCGAACTCGTAGGGGCACGTGCGGCACTCGAGCCGGTTCTTGCCCGTGTCCATGGGCGAGACGGTCAGGACGTTTGCGCAGTTGGGGCAGACTTGGGGGTTGGGGAGCGTATGTTAGCGGTCGAGTTGTTAGGGAAGGACGGCGAGGGGGAAGATCGTACACAGCAGCATGTTGGTGGCGGGGGTCGAGTTGTATAAAAACAATAGGATTTTTTTTCTGCTTCAGGCGTTGTCTTCCTAGCGACCAATTTAGCAACCCGAACCCGTCCCTTTTCTGCAGCTCCGCCTAGAATTTTATGCGGCGCGTCGCGAACTCTGCTCGGGTTGGAAGCGGTTGCAAACGGCAATGCGTCACTAGCCGCCGACAAATTCTCTGGGTGCCAGTGCACGTGCCTCGCCCGCCCACTCACAGCTGAGCAGGAGCTGAGGCTTTGAGCTGTTGTAGCACCCTCCACGAAACCCCGCCATCCCACCCGCGCCAAACCCCTGACACGCACCCCCTGTTGGTTCGTCGCAAGCCCGGCCGTTTGTCACTGCCACCCCGATCCTCCGCTCATTTGGGGCCAGAATCTCTCCGACGACGCCAAGTTTGACTTGACAGCCCGGCCTGAAGCAGAAAAACACGGCCGGCGGCGTGGCATTTCCTTGGATCGACCGATTTCGAGAACCCGACCATACATTCTCTCCTTCCTCCATCCTCCTCCACTCCCGTACCGTGGGCGGACAAGACGCCGGGCTGAATCTCACCACCTCTTTTGGCTTGGCTGCTGGCTACACCACATCCTGTTTCAGCTGAACAGTACGCGAGGCTACAACAACCGCTGCGGCTAGACGCGTCCGTCCCACTCCCCTTTTTTTTTCGAACCGACACGGAGGCGGGATCGAGCCCTGCCACCGAGAGCATGGCGGGCAACAACGAAGTGCACGAGGTACGGATCCCCAAGCTCCCCGATACGCCACACGCCAACCCAGCACCAGGTATCGTAGTGCTGACCCGTGTGTTCACTCCCTCCAGGGCGCGTCGGTCCAAGAGAGATTGATCGAGGCCTGCAGGAGAAACAACGTCGACCTGCTCACCGAGGTCATCGAGGAGACGAACGACGACGACAAGATGGCAGACCTGCTCAACAACACCAGGACCGTCATGGGCAACCACCTGTACCACGAGGCCGCCTCGCAGGGCAACTGTGGGTGCTCTCCTCTCACGTTTTGTCCAAACAACAAGCTGCTGTATAACCAAATTTAACATGCAAAAAAAACAACAGACGAGATCATCGACATGCTCCTCGACCAGCACGGCTTCGAGTGCGACCCCGTCAACCGCGTCGAGGGCGACACGCCGCTGCACACGGCCATCCGTTGGATCAACTCGGAGCCCCCGGCCCAGCGCGAGTTCGGCGCCGCCCTCGTCGAGATGATGCTCGAGGCCGGCTCCAATACCCGCGTGCGCAACAAGGGTGGCCTCACGCCCCTGCAGCTCGTCGACCCGTCCAACCCCGCCCTCAAGGAGGCGATCCGGAAGCACGAGTACGCCACCCTCAACGCCGGCGACTTTGTGGCCACCGACAGCGGCAGCGGCAGCAGCAACAACAACAACAACAACAACAACAACAACAACGCGCATGCCAAGGCGGCACAGCAGCAGCAAAAGGAGGAGAGCAGTGATGACGACGCCGAGTTCAGTGGAAGCGACGACGAGGAGCGCGCCGAGTGGGAGCGGAGGAGGAGGGCCAAGGGGAAGAGGGCCTAGGCCTGAGGCTGGTTCTTTTTATCTCTGGGCCAAGAGTCTTGTTTTCTGGCTTTTTTTTCTCGTTTACTTCGGCATGGCTGCATTTTTCATAATGGAGACGGCACATCCTGAATCCTGCATGGCATGGCATTTCTGCTTTCTTTTGTTTCTTGTGATATTACGAGCACTGTCGAATCTTGAATGTAGACCGAGAACAGTGTTGGTGTTGGCGCTGAGGAGTGCGGCACCATAGACGGTCGGCAATAGTGGGCGTATCCTTGACATGTCGAGCTGGAAGCATTGTGATTCTCTGATCTATCAAATGATGATTACCAAAAGATATCTGTTACTAATTTATGATAACTATGCCTAGGGGGTCAATGTACCCCATCTGGGATATAGGGGTTGGACAAAGATGTGGCCCGCGCAATACAAAAAAGGGGTATATGCCGCTCAAACAAACAAAAAAAGAACAAAACCTGCGGAGTGGTGTCCAGAACTTGGACATAAAAAAAAAATAAGAGGCGGCCTATACAAAAAAGATACGATATAGGGAAGAACCCGGAGGGCAGTGGGAAAAAGAGAATAGTACCAAGGAAAGAGATGCATGTCCAGCACCCAGCTTTTCCTTGGCCGACAAGTAGTTAGGACTTGTGGCTTGTTGGCGAGCCTCCTATCACAAGGCAGTGAGCAACCCCAGACCGAGGGTAAACGCAGCCAAGGCCCTCAAAGACACGTGGCCGCCACGGACAGCAGCCGAGGAGTGGCTCCTGATGTAGTCCTCGCTGGCGACGTCCTCCAGCATCTGGCGGGTGAGGTTGCCGCTGGCGGCCAGGTGCTGCATCTGGGTGCCAAAGGTGGACAGGATGTTGGTCGAGCGGCCGGCGGGGCAGAAGACGACCTCCCAGCCGCCGCCCGACGGTATGATAAACGTCGACGTCTGGTCGTCGTAGGCGAAGCTGTAGGCGTCCGGGCAGACGCGCTTGGCGTTGGCCGCGTACAGGCCGCCGCGGCACACGTTGGGGTCGTTGTGGGAGCCGCGGCAGCAGTCCTCGTCCGAGTTTGTGGCGACGCAGGCGCTCATGCAGGGGTTGAACGGGGGCCGCTCGACGCCGTCGTCCGGGTAGGGGTAGACGCCGTCGCCGGGCTTGGCGGGCGGGAAGCGCTGCAGGGGCCAGGGGCACCAGCGGCCGACGGCGGCGTTGTCCTGGCGCGGCTCGTAGGGCATGGGGTACGAGCGGTTGGTGTAGGTGGCCCCGATCCTGGAGGGAGGGGCGAGCCAGCCGTCCGTGGCGATGCAGCTCGGGTTGACCAGGTTGGGCGGGATGAAGGTGGTGTTGGGGGCCGGGATGTAGACGATGCCGACGGGCAGGTTGTAGCCGTCGACGAGGCTGATATCGTAAAAGGTCTGCTTGCCGCCCACGCCGCCCTGCAGCGTGAACTCGGCCAGCGTGCTGGGCACCTGGCCGCCACCCGCGCAGTCGCGCACGCCGAAGCAGTCGCCCGTCGCGCAGGCCGTGCCGGGCCCCGCGGCGCTGCCCCTGCTGGGGTCGGCGGGCCCGGTGTCGTTGGCGTTGAAGGTGCAGTTTGTGCGGCCCCAGACGCGGCCCTGCCAGTCGAAGCTGACGTTAAAGTCGCGCGTCTTGCCGCCGCCGAGCTCGAAGCCGCCGAGCCCGGGGCCCCGGCCGTGCTGCGTTGCCACAGCTGGCCATATCGTGTCGGCGCAGCTGTTGGTGATGCGGATGGGGACCGCGTGGGTGTCGTTGAAGAGGTCTGATGTCAACATTTAGAGGGCGGGAGGCGGAATATGAGGTGTGAGTTGGGTGTAGGGGTAGATAACTGTATGTATCTATTCAAAGGGACGAGAGGCCATCATGGTTCAAACATGATGGATAAAAGAGCGGCGTCAAAATATAAATAACAGGATCGGCAGCAGTCGAACTCGTCCATCGTGACTGGACGGCCTGGCCCCCGCCGGCCAGCGCCGCCTGCACCGAACCAGGAACCTGGCATGGCGTCCAAACCCTGATTTTCGTCTCTGATGGTTCGCTGGCATAGCGAGGAGGCTGAGCGGGAAGGAGGTGTGGAGGCCAGCATGCCTGGCCGGGTTGGAGGGCCACGATGACGCAGGTCCAGTCTGCCAATCGAACGGCTCGCAGCGCGCCTGCCCAGCGTTGCCCTGCGCGTTCCTGCGCCTGAAACTCGACACCGCCAGTACATTGCACTAGCAAGCCAAGGGTGGTAGAGCGTTACTGGATCGAAAGAAAGAAGCCGCAGGAAGGCACAACGGTGACATCACAGTGCCCCACAGCCCGCAAGACCCCTGTCAATTCCCCCACTGAATCTCGCCTGGTACCCAAGACGGCGCCCATGCCGGATTTATTTACGTCCTTCAAATCGCCCCTCGCTATCGTTGCTGTTGTCAAGAAGCTGCGATGCTGCCTTAGGTCTCATCATCGCGTACATCAACAGGATCCAAGGAAAAGAACCGACTCCCCGCCTACCACATCATCCACGGCCGCAGTTTGTCGAACTCGTCATCGCCAAGTGGAGCGCCCGCTAGATCCGGGCGCACATCGGCCCTGAGCGTCTCAGCCATCTCGCGGCACTGGCGGGCGTCGCCAACGTTGCCTAGCCTCTGGTGGATTGCGTGCATCTGGTACAGCACGCGCGCACGCTGGCCAGCGCCTTCGAGCCCTGGGAGGTCCCGGGCTTCCTGTTCCATGTCGCAGCCGAGTTCCCTGGAAAATACCCGTCCTATCAGCTTTTCTTTTCTTTCTTCTTTTGCTTCCCTGTCGGCAACACTTACAAGGCCGTTGCATGGTTGCCGTGTGCCGCCATCATGCGCATCACGTCGTAGCCCGAGTCGAGCGTCTTGAGGCAAGCACCCAGGGCCTTGCGCCGGCAGTCCAGCGCACCCGAGGCCAGCCACCTTGCAGCGTCGGCTTGGCCCTGCGCTGCGCGGATCCGCGACAGCAGCACCGCGTCGCCGCACAGCCATGGGTTGCCGCCGCGGAGGAAGCTGTCGTCGGAAAAGTCGGCCAGCTCGGGACTCTGACGCAGCGCCGCTTCGGCCTCGTCCGGTTTACCCATCCTCAGCAGCAAGCTAGCCATCTTGCTGTAGGAATCACCCAGACGACTGGGCGGGATGTGCTTGGTTTGGCAGTGCGCCGGCAGCACCGGCCGCGGCGGCTGTCGAAGCCGGATCCGGATCGATTCACGGAGCGCCGCGTGCGCCTCGTCCAGGTATCCCAGCTCCGTCAATGCCCGTCCAATATGGCTATGGCTCAGCCCTATCAGGGGCGTTTCGGCGTTTAAGCTCTTTCCCAGCAGTTGCTCTCTGGTCTTGAGGCCAAGCCTGAACTGCTCCAGAGCCCCAGTGGGTCTGCACATGTCTAGGCTCACCAGCCCGCAGAGGTCGAGGCAGCTGGCGTAAGCAAAACCCGGGGGGATCTTGCGGAGCTGCTCGCAAGCTTCCTGGGCCATATCCTGGGCCTCGCTGAGCTTCTCGGTCTCGTACAGATACCTGAGTCCGGCCTTGTTAGCTGACCTGGAATCGCTGCCGGGTGATGCCCTACTTCCTTCGACTTACCAGCTGGCCTTGAGCAGTATCTCCCCAACCAGCTGGGGAGTTCCACGAGGCATGGCCATCCCTTTTCTCACGTTGTTGAGGTGCTGGACGTGAGGCAGACACTTGGCAGAGCGGCCCCAGCTCTCGAACTGATGACTCAAGTCCTTGGTCCACCGCTCAGGAAACGCCGCGCTCATGAGATTGGCTGCAAAGGCGTAGAAGAACTCCCTGTCTTCTCTGGACTGGTGCCGGATGATCTCCTCCTGGATCACGGAGTGTAGGGAGATGTTGCGTGACCGCTGCTCGATAGAGATCATCCCAGCTCTCAGCAGGACCTCCTGAGCATCGGCCAGGCCTATCTCGTCCTTTAAAAAGTCGCAGCGCATGCCGTCGATGTGCTGAGCTCCTCTGAGAAGAAGGCTTTCTTGGATGCAATCGACGTCGAAGTACGCCAGAATGTTTAAAAGGTCGAGCGCGTCGCCAGACAGGTCCCGGAAGGTTTCATCCCACAGGCTAGACAGGCTGTGGTGATAGGAGCCGGTGGCCCAGGGTTTCGTGCCATCCATCTCCCTGGCGTTGCGCAGATGCATGCCGGGAAAGAAGCTCAAGGGCAGTCTCCGCTGCTCGAGATAGACAGCCACGTGGTTCAACGCATGCGGAAGGCCACCGAAGCGGACCGACGTTTGCCTGGCCACCTCTCGGTCATCAGCCGCCAAGTCCAGGGGACTGGGCCCGACTCTTTTGAGCAAGAACTCGGCGCCGGATTCCGTGTCGAACGCTTGCACATAAAAGGATGCCTGGGCCATGCTGTCCATATAGCATCCCGTGTGGTCCCGTGTGGTGAGTATGATCGAACCCCTGGCCCGGCTTGGCCAGACCTCTTTGAGCATTTCAATATTGTCAGCCCCGTCAAAAACGAGGAGCCATGTCTTGTCTGAGAACCGCCGAGGCTTCATGGTTAGCCAACGAGGAGGCGTGTTCAAGGAGTCGACCCGCAGCATTCTCACCTGTGGTCTGAAGCCAATTCTTGACTTTGAGAGTCGCGGAGCTCTCATTTTCCGACTCTCGGTTGGCATCGTCTCCGATCAGCTCAAGGTGTCTGGCGATAGCGCCAAAGCTTTCTTGGATGCTCCGCGCACTCTCGGCTTTCACCCACAGCATCTCCTCGTAACTTGAACGGTGAAGTGAGGTATACCGGAGAGCTATTTGTGTTTTGCCGACTCCACCAATGCCATACAGAACCAAGGAGCGCAGGCCTGGGGCCCCCCAGCTGGGCTGCAGGGCCTGCTCGACAGCCTCTATGGCATTCTCTCTACCATGGAATCTGGGGCTGACTGCGACTGGCACGCAGCTGCGGTGACGTGTGCCCCTGGCCACGGAGGGGCTGGTGATCTCGTTGCGCGTCTGGCTATTGCGAGCAGCACGCCACTCTGCCTCGGCGGCGGCAAGGAGCCTCTTGTTCCAACGCAGAACGCAATCTCCTTCCACTTGCAAACGGCTCCAGGCACCGTAGTGGAAAATGATGCGTGGTTGCCGGCGCAGTAACCGAGCGCTGCATACGAGATGCGTCAAGGTCTCGGTGTAGAGGCGGAGGAGGATTGCCTCGAGCCCAGGGGACATGCGGTCGTCCTCGTACCATCGAGCATGCAGCAAGGAGGAACTCAGGTCTCGGACCACGCTCCTCACATATCGAGCGGTCTCAGCTGCGGCCAGCACGGCGATCAAGACAGCCCGGAGGCCGGCCCATCCTGCCACCACGGTAAGCAAGGCGGGCCAATCCGGCGACAGAACGCCTGACATGAAGACCATGACAGCAACGAGGTCCAGGGCTAGTCTGACGGCGGGAGCATGGCTGTGAACTATCTCAAGCGTGTCGGACTCTCGAGTGTGCTGCTCCTCGGACAGGCGAGGGAGAAGATCATCCCCACGCTGGTAGCCGAGGATCCCGAGCTCAGCCACATCCAGATCATCGTTCTCTAGACGGTCCGAGACCTGCTCCACAGCCCGTCGCCAGACACGACCTGGCGGAAGGCCGCCAGCCGCCGTGGAGACGCCCATCGGACTATGTTACGGGTCCACTTGTCAGTGATGGTCTGAAACAGGAGTTTATATGCCGAGAGGTTGCTCGCTCACCCGTACTTGATGTTCATACTTGGGTGGTGTCTTGGGTTGCCGCCGCCGTCCGTGAGGGTCCTCGGAGCTAACAAGTCCAGGGTGTTTTAGAGAGAAGCCACAGAGAAAGGCCAGGGGAAGAAGGGAGAAGCGGCCCTTAGATATAGGTACGACATCAGTGAAGAGCGGCGGATGTCGCCCAGCCTATTCGCCGATCCCGACGGCTGTTTTCAATGCCCTCTGGCGAACATGGACCGGCTTGCCAGTTGTCATGCATTTCCTGCCAATTTGCGGCCTTATAGGCCACACGCGGGAGGGAAGAGACAGGAGTAGGAACGGGGCTCCTTGTGCAGCGCTCGGCGGCGTGTGGTATGTGAGTGTGTACCCCCCTCCCCTCTTTCGTTTCCCGGTACGTGGTTCTCATCCGTTTCCTCAAGCTGCAAGCACCCGATTAGGCGTGGCATACCCCCTGCCTGACGCCTCGTGCCATGATTGCCTTTTATTCATTCTTTTGCTTTTTTTTTTTGCTTTTTTTCTCCCTTATGCTACTCCCGATCGCCCTCGCTTGCTGGCCCCCCCTGCTCCCCTTGTTGTGCTTGGCATGCCTTTGAGTGCGGGCCATGCCACCTGCGTGCTGATCCCTTATTGTTTTCTACTTCCACCAAGCAAGCCATGCTGCACGACGGCCGGCCGCCACCGCCCCATTCTTTTTTCCTTTTCACTCACCGGCCTCGCGTCCTGCTCCGGCTTGGTCCTGGCCACAGGAACAAAGTTGGCGAGAGCGAGACAAACAACACATCGCCCATTGCTTGTTGTCGGTTATTTCAGGCCGCGAAGCGCCACGCTGCATGTGTTTGTTTCCTCCCCCAAGCCCCTGATCCCCTCTCCCTCGTCTTCCTTTCATCTATCCCAAACAGCGAGCGTCGGGGCTGTTTGATTGTTTCCATAGGCGCGTCCTCGCGCCGGCTGTGTGACGTGGTCTTGGGGAGGAAGAAAAGAACAAGATGCGCCACAGCTCGCCGCCCCGTTACGCTCACCCGGTCCACCTCCGGCCAATATCACAAAGCAGCCCTCACCGCGGATCCTGCCATCGGCACTCGCGATGCCGCAACGCACGCTTGGGCCCTACGTAGTTAAGCGACAGGGATGTCGATCCAACAATATCACGCGCCCAACGCAACCGGGAGGGCAAAACTGCCTGGACCTACTAGACTGTCAACCCCTTTTTTTCCCCTCTGCTTGCTCGCAAGTGCCGAACCATGGTTGCTTGGCATTGAGGATGCCGAAGGCGTCGAATAAGCAGAACCATCAAGTAAGAAGAGGGCACGTAGAACACCTCCCCTCGTCGATCGCAGGCGGAAGTCTCGAGTCCCGGAGGAGAGTTGGGGACCTGAGCTTCGTGATTCGCCGTATGCGCCTTTGGGGCTTTTTCTCTCTTCCTTTTTCCTTCTCTCTTGTGTTACGGTGACGACAACGCGGCGCGCCTGATTCTGGACTGGTGGAGATGATGATGCGGAACAGCGTAAAAAACAAAAAAAAACAGCAAAGCCAACCTTGGATCTCCCATACTCTCGCATACCGCTCTTCCCCGTTGGCCCGGGCGAGAGCGCATTGCTTACTTGTTCGGGCTATACGCCGCTCTGGTATGCTACCTGGGTTTGGTGGTTGCCCTCGTTGTGGATTTCCCGGGCGGGAAAGAAGGAAGGGATCGGCGGGAAAGGTGTGTGATGGAGTGGTGTGATATACGCGCTGTTGGATGCAGATATTGGTGTGCCCTCCACCACGCGTGCGCCGTGGTCCGAGGAAGCCCCCTGCGCGGCGGTTTCCATACAAGCCGGCATATAGCCAGACGTCAGCGAGCCTGGGCCGGGACAGGGATCGAGAGAGATGGGAGGCAGACAGAGATGGGTGGGGAGGCGCACGCGTAGCTACAGGTTAGGTGGCCGTCCATATCATGCATGCATAGCAGCACATGGGTATAGTGGAAGGAGGGAGAGAAGGAGGGAGGAAGAAAGGAAGGGGTCGGGGAAGACGGGAGAGGGTGGGAAGCAGGGCCCAGGAGGGCCAAGCTCCGGGTCTTGCGGCGTACGGGGCTATAATAGCGCGGTGTGTGTGTATGTGTGTGTGCGTGTGTTGCTGCTACGTGCCATCGCATCCTGCGTGGCACGCGGCCTAAGCCTGATAAGGCCGGGTCGTCTTTGCGGCTAGATGCTGCTAAGTACTTTTATCTCCTTCTCCTGCTTCGCCTCTACTCCTGAGCGAGTGCAAGGGGGAGGCCCATAGCCCGGTAGCTGGGACGGGGGAGGAGGCAAAGAGACACAGGACGTGTCCACGCAGGACGGCATCTGGTGCTGGTTTGCGTAAGCCCCCGCTGCCACGCTCGTTCGATGTGGACATGCACTCGCACCCCCTTCCCCTTTCCCCTTT